CTTGGTCTTCAGGTCAATCACCTCATCAGCAGCCATCTCAAACTGTAGATTATTTTGGAGCAAATCTCAATTCTACTGTAGCCAGGGTGATCACTCCTCCGGAACAAATAATCAAATTAAGGCAAGCCATCCGCCCCTTCTTGCATTGCATCATGATCACCACTCACCATATGCAGCACCTACTTGGTCTGATGTTATCAACTACATCAATTATTCAGCATGCAAAACTTACAGGCATGATACTTGTCCCAGTTCAATTCCCTCATAGACTGTCCATCCAAACGTCTTATGGTAACTCCAGAGTTGACTCGTCAACTAACCTGGTGGACCTTCATCCCTCACCTCCTGGTAGGGCCTCTTCAACTTACTGTGCAAGTCACAATGGATGCCAGTCAGATCGGATGGGGCGCACACTGCGTTCATCGAAAGATCCACACGTTATGGTCAAGCTCATTGCTGCACATCAATCAACTAAAGCTGCTAGCAGTCATCAAGTCTTTTTGAGCTTTCCAATTCCTCATAGCTGGTTGCAGGGTCCAAGTCATCACGGACAATATGACCACCCTGAATTATATTAACAAGTAGGGTGGCACCCATTCTTTACATCTGCTTTATCTAGCGATCCAGCTGTGGGAATGGTGTTATAATCACCACATTTTTCCAGTGGCTCTTCATGTGGCTACACAGGACAATGAGGTTGCCAACCATCTGAGCCGTCTTACCACCCAGACTCACGAGTGGTCCCTCAAGGACAACGTCTTCTCTCTTCTCTGCAGGCAGTAGGGGACACCAGGTCTTGATGTCTGCACCACCCAATCCAGCACCAAGTACAGCAGATACTGCTCCCAAGCAGAGAGAGGAGAGAACTCTCTAGGCAATACCTTTGTGCTAGAATGGGACCACGGCCTACTCTATCTTTTCCTGCCCATTCCTCTCATCCAGAGGACGATAATCAGGATCCATCAGCTGGATCGAGATGGCATTCTGATACTGCCGTGGTGGCCATGTCTACCATGGTTCACCACTCTCAGAACCATGGCTTCAGACTTTCTCAGACGACCACTTCAACCATCCCTTCTCACTCAGGACGAAGGTCGGATTTGCCATGCCGACCTCAGCTCTCTACACCTCACTGTATGGAGAATTCTTCCAAAGTGGCTGAAGTCCTGAATAGAGCAAGGAAGCTATCTACTCAATTATTGTATTGATATAAATGGAACTCATTTATCAAATTTGCTGGATCATAGAACTTACCCACAGTTCCAGTGTCCTTGGATACCCTTCTTAAGTTCCTTCATTAACTGTTTGACCAAGATTTGGCCCATTCCACATTAAAGGTTTATATTTCTGTGTTAGTTTCATACCAACCTGAAGGGTCTGAAGCTTCCCGTTTGTTTTTTCATCCCACATTAAAAAGATTTCTAAGGGGGCTGCGAAACATGCGTCCATCTATTTGACCTCCACTTCCTCAGTGGTCTCTTCAGGTTGTTCTCCATACACTTACTCACCCTCCTTTTGAACCTATGGCTTCTACAAACTTCAAACTGCTTTCTGTCAAAACTTTGTTCCTTGTGGCAATAACCTCTGCACGTTGAGCAAGTGAACTGGCTGCTCTTCGAGCTTATATTCAATTTTTTTCCTGACAAGGTTGTGTTGTATCCAGATGTGTCTTTCCTTCCTAAAGTGATCTCTGATTTCCACGCCAATCAACCTCTAATTCTCCCGATGTTATTTATCAATCCATCTTCTGATGAGTGCATGCTCCACTCCCTTGATGTTCATCGTGCCCTGGCATTTTATGTTTCCAGAACCAAGGACTTTTCTATTTCTCCCAGACTTTTTGTCTGTTTCCATGGCCCATGAAAGGGTTCTTCTGTCTCCTCACACTCTCAAGGTGGATTGTCTCAGCCATTCCGTTGGCTCATGACTTGGCAGGCAAATCTCTACCGGAGGTGCTAAAGGCACACTGCACTAGAGCGATGGCAATGTCTACAGCTTTGCTGCATGGCATTGAAGTCCCTGACATCTGTCAAGTAGCCACTTGGTCTACACCCTCGACACACTATCATCTTGATGTCAGGGCCAAGAAGGAAGCAAGTTTTGGGAGAGCTGTGCTGACTTCGTTGTTGGCGTGATGGCCCCCCTGGTAAGTGAGCGTACTAGTCACCTATTTGTGTGGATTCACAGAGGCCACAAAGAAGAAAGGGAGGTTACTTATCAGTAACCAAGGTTCTTCGAGTGGTCTTCTGTGAATCCACACATCCCGACCAGCCTCCCTGCTGTCTGTCACTTGTTGTCTTGAGCTTTATGGAGGTCAGAGCTTTAACAGCAGTGGACATTCAGAACTGAGATAACGGAGCATGCACGCCACGGGGCAACGTCCTACTAATCACATGTTTTTAAGCTCTAGAATATTCTGAGGAGTCCTGCACAGACACAGTAAAACCCATTTGTGTGGATTCACAGAGGACCACTCAAAGAACCATGGTTACAGGTAAGTAACCTCTCTTTTTCTGTCATGAATAAGATTTGAGAAGTACGATAGATGAATGGATTTTCATATGTCCAGAAACAGTTCCACATTGAGCCATACCAGTATGCTGTATGAAGTTCATGCACATGTGAACACAGTAGCAGGGATTGTAACCTGCAACACTTCAACAGCAGCCTTTCTCTTCATTATTTAAACCATCGACTGGAGCAGGTAGGTTTGCTCCCAAACAATGGCATTCCCATTTAATCCTACTGCCATCTTTGTACTTTAATTTAGAATCCGAGTTTGCTGCTATTCTTTGAGATTCCCTTGCCCCTATAGCACAGACTTCTCAGGTGTGAACTGACATCATGCTATTGCTTCTGGGAGGTACAGCTTGGGGAGAGTGTGCACTCCCAACTCTCACCAGTCCATGGTATTCTATTTGAGGTATTCAGACAGAAGGCTCTGCACCCTAGCAGGAGAAGACACTGTGCAGCAATCGCATCTCTTTTCCCCCCCATCCTTAACTAGTTTTCAGTGGTAAGAAAAATTGTGCTGAAGAAACTAGGGAGGGCTATGAGTAGAAGATGACATCATCTGGCACTTTCATAAAATTCAGTGAATGATGGGAGGAGGTGACACAAGAAAAGCCTCATCTGAGACAACCCTCTTTCCCTTTCCTTCCGGAGCTCCTAGCATTGAAACAATTCCCATGTTCAGCTCCTTTCAAAGGGAAAAAGAGATGGACAAGGTGGTTGCCCATTTCACCTAGTTTTACCTTGAAACTATAGATCAGGACTGGTCAGGTGCGGGCTTCCAGATGTTGGACTGTCACTGGCCATTCCCCACCATTGGCTGTGTTGGCAAGGGCTGATGGGAGGTGGAGTTCAACATAATCTGGAGGTTTCTGTGTTGCGCACCCTGCAAGAGCTGAAGTGTAGATATCAACAGGTGGGATGTGGGTTGCAAGCAGACAGATAGGAAGACAGTCAGAGAGATCACACACTCCAGTCTTCCCTGACTTGGTGCCCTCTAAATGTCTTGGAATGTAACTCCTGGAATTTATTTGTTGTCTGCCTGCCTGTCTATTGGGGTATCAGGCTGGGGAAGCCCAGAATATATATACTGAACTCCTGGAATTTATTTGTTGTCTGCCTGGGGCTAATGGAAAGTGAAGCCCTGACTATTGGAGTATCAGGCTGGGGAAGCCCAGCATATATATACTATACTTGCTCAAGCACCAGTACGCACAACATGGAAAGCAGGATGGGTGAAGTTTCCCAAGCCCAACTGATCCTTGGGGAAAAGGCAGTCAGTTGCACAGAGGCAACATGCTACAAAATTAGCCTGAATATTACCACTTGAGTAGTAGCAACAAAAATCATGCTCTGATTGTCTGGAAGAACTCCGGCCAAGGAGTTTCTGTCCCTGGCTAGAGATGCAAGAGGCAAATGCTAAAGCGTGTATTTTTTGCCTTTTTAAGTACTTTGATTTGTTGTCATGACTGAGCATGACACAAAGGTCTCTGTGGCTTCTTAACACTTTTCTGCACATGTGAGGAGTTGGGACTTGAGCCGCTCAATGCCCAGCATGGGGTGACTCTGTTAAAGTGATTTTTCTGATATGCTGTACTCTCAGCCAGCTTTTAGCTATAGCCAGTTCAGCTCAGTGAATGTACTTTTAAATGTTTAAAGAGCACTAGTATCTTATGCCCTTGGGAATAAACTAAGGATTAAAAGATTGTTTGTTTCTTTTCAACTGTGTTTTGGATTGCAAGCATCTTGCAGACTTTGCACAGGAGAGTGGCCTTTTTACAGCTGATTTTACATAAATCTGTATTCAGTTCAGTCTGAATGATGAAACTTGCATTAAGATTTGTATGGAATCCCAGATGCAGTGAAATGTTTATATCATCTGCAAGAATTTGTTTGTATAAACAACTTATTGACTGCATGATTTGTTTGTTATAATTTGTGATATTTTGTATATTTCTCTCATAAAAATGTTTGACCCAGAAGTGGATAGTGATATTTCTTCCAGATGTTGATCATTAGACCCACACAGGGCAATCTCTCTCTCTTCAAGTTTTTTGCTCAAAAGCTACATCTTCTACAAAAAGGTCCTGAAATGCCCCCCCAAAACCACACATACATACACAAACTCTTATAATCTCATGCAGCAGAGATGATTATCACCTGTAAGAACCGAATGAGTGAAGACCAATAGCCCTAACATGCACTACCAGTATTCTTGAATCTGTGTGGATATTGCTCTGTAACCTCCATGCAGGCATTTGCAGGCAACAATTTTTATAATTAGAATGGCGATTTGATTGGATCAACAACAGAAGCATAGCTTTGCAATAAAAATCAGAATAGAGGATGCCGATAGATAGTTTCGTTAGGATGAAAAATGTCATATGCAACAAAAAAATGTGTGATTGTGCACTTTATTTTACTCCTTGCTTGAACCTGCCACACTTCCTCATAACCGGTTGGTCTACACCATAGAATAAAATACAACAATAAAACTACAGTAGATTTCAAAATCATATATGATGAGCAACCTCACAAGCCAAGATGTAGGGGAGGAAAAATATTAGCAACAGATAAAACTGAGAGTTACAAAAAAGAAGCCTAATTTCCTAGAGATAACAAATACTGTATTTCTACACAAGCTTTGTCTTTCTCTTTCAACTGAAATGTTTCCCTTGTAGTATCAGGAAAGCTTAATGTAGTGGATCCAGGATGTGTGCACGGATCAGAAGGCTGCACAGGGAATCATGCATTCCCAGAGACCTTGGAATGAATGTACCTCCTCTACCTGACTAGCTGTGCCATACTGGCACAGAATGAGTTCCTGCTAGCAATTGCTCAGGTTTGGGCTGTCAGACAATTTGCATAACAGTGACCTGTTGCTATGCAACACCTATTTTCCCTGCTCATGATCTTGGTGAAAGCAGTTTTACAGCTCTCACAAATAAAATCCAATCTCTTATCTTGCAAAGTTCCTAGTTTGAAAAGTTCATTATGCTGCCTTCTTTGTATATTAAATGTAGTGCTCCTATATATCCTCTATACGTTTAGCATAAATGATCTTGGACTAAAAGAAGCATGCTATAAAAGGAAATGTAATTAGACGTTCAATTTACACACGCACAGTGAAATTCGAAAAACGTGTTCTGCATGTCATTGTTAATCCATGCAGTTTAAAACTACAACATGTATAACCACCTTAATCTGACAAAAAGTGCAGGGAGAGGCTGACAGTGCCTTTTTGGGAGTAAAAAGAGAAAGTTATTGAAAGAGAACACTCCCACGCTTCAAAATAAGTGTTCACAATATACAATACTGTATATGTACAGTCAGCTTGTATTATAGAATTGTGGGAAGATCTAGAAACCGATGCTTTCCTGCTACTGTGCTGTACTAGGGCACAAAATACAGCATGTTCTCTTTCTCTCTTGATAGCTTTTTTGATAGTGCCAATTATGTAATCATTAAAGCTCTTTGTAACTGTTTGGCCTTAAATTTAAAATAAAGTATTCCTATCATCCTTTGATATTTTGATGGATGGCACCTGAATGACTTTCACCAGGGAAATTTGGAAGAGGGAGGACAAGCAGATATTTGAGGAATGAGAATTCTCTCTTTTTTGGCATGCTGTTTCCAGCTTGAAATTTCAGCATCACTTTAATAAGAGAAGCAGCAACACTTGCCTGTTTATTCTTTAGAACCTGCAGATTTTATGTCCTGCTGAATTACCTCTTCAGTGAGATGCAAACTCTACAGATAGTCTTTTTTGCTGCTGAATGTCCTGAGCATCTTTTAATTCTGAAAGTTGTAGTACTGCACACTGCAATCCATACCATGGCAAGGAAGCTTTACAGATTTCTTCCCAACAGTCATTGTCTATATCATAACCCACCACATCCTGAGTTGGAATTTCCTGGGAGTCTTGCCATTTCTTCCCCCCAATGAGAAGAGCAGTTTCCTCCACTACTGCTAAACCATAACTAAACCTATCAAAAACAAGGGGCCTCAAACGAGTCCATTGATTTCGATCAGGATCATATTTTTCAATTTCAGAGAATGGCTCATAAAGTCCCAAAAAAGTAAAGATGGACCCTCGGATTGTGGCCATCTGATGCCCAAACCGAGCAATGCTCATTGGGGCTTGCTTTCCCCATTGTCCTTCTAGTGAACTCAGAGCATACAAATCCTTACTTGTGTTAGTTTGACCCATGTATTTGCCACCCGAGATATAAATTACATTCTTGCAAACAGTACCAGCATGCCCATGCATTTTGCCTGGCAAATCTTGGATTTTGGTCCACGTATCTCGGTTGATGTTGTAGACTTCAACAGAAGAATGCAGTGTTCCATTCTCACCTTGTCCACCAGCTACAATGATCATATTTTTAAGGACACAACAACAAAATAGGCACCTTTTTCCCAACATCCCAGTGGTCTGAATCCATTTGTTAAATCTTGGATCATAGCGATAGACTTCATTTGTAACTGTCCAGGTGGGACTTTTAGGATCACTTTCTGAATTTTCTATTTCTCCACCTAACACATAAAGAAAATTTCCAACAGTACATACGCAGTGATTTTTTACCTTACGAGGTGCTTTTGTTAAGTTTTGCCATTTGTGATTGTAAACATCAAAAGCCACCACATCACCAAAGGGCCCTTCACCTGCTATCATCCCTCCAAGCAGGATAATCCGTGTCTTCTGGTTTCTTAGGGTGCTGTACTTATCTTGCAAGATAGGTTGTCTGAAAATAAGTGAATGATAGTTTATTGCTTTTATAATCAAGCATTTAATGGGGGCTGTTAAAGGCACTTCTGACTGTGTGTAGACTTTTCTCAGATCTTCTACTGGAATAAGGCCATATCTTATGTGCTCCAAAAGGCTAGTTGTGTGTGTTAACCTCAATTTATCATACTTTAACCACTGCAGCAATAGATCCAGCAAATTAGACTCTTTCACCATGGGCACATCAGGAGATTCTACTACTGCTTTCAAAGATCGGGAGTTCAGTTCCAGCAGTCCTGCAAAATCCAGATCCATGACTTTCCAAAGATTGATAATTAGATATTTTTCTGCTGCCGCTAAAGCATCTGGAAGATAGAATTTTGTGGCAATGTTAGCAGAAAAACAGCAGGTCTCTAGCGTCAGGTTGTTAGCTAGGTACTGGCTGCACAAGCCAACTGCTTCTGTTACTTGCAAGTAAGTGGCAGCTTCCAAGGTATCCTCCAAGCTAGCAAAAGATAAGGACAACCAAGAGGTATAAATGAAATCCAGAATGTGCTGTAACCCTGTCGCTGAGACAACCTGAAGGTGAACCACAGAAGCCTTGGATTCTTTGGTGTAGCTCTTGAACATGGCCCTGAAGTAATCACTAGAACAGGCCAACAAAGACTTGTGAGCAGGGAATTCATTTTCCTTCACCTTCAGTAAAATGTCACACAATGCACCTTCAGCTCGAAGGGTTTGGTAATGAGAGAGCACAGCACTACAATGTCCTTTGCAGTAAGATAGAAAGTAACTCATTGTGCAGAACAAAACGCTCCAAAGCACTGTCTTTTAACCAATGGAAGGAGAAGGAAAGAAGCTGCAGCTGTAGAATAGCTCCGTGAGCTGGTAACAAAGGTCCCATTAAAATGACATCCCTCTCCAAGTTAAGCCTGGTTCTACTACATTGTCTCATGCATTCATTCATAAAGCTGGTTCTAGTAATGACCTTCAGGCACTTGTTTCTCTCACCTCCATTTCCTGCTTAAGATTAGATGGTCGACAAGAGATGAGACAGCTTGCTTGGGTGGCATCAGATGACACAGATGAGAGCTTGATGGCATTAAGTGATGTTTTGCCAGCTCAGATGTCACCCATGACTTTTCTTTCTGTTTAAGCAGATTAAATAGATCTTCTGAGGCTGATGGTGCATCAGGAACTGGAGAAAGAGTGCTGAACTTTGGAGTTGCTTTTGCCCAAGCTCTGTATCCACTCGTTGACAAGTTTAGCTCTTATTCCCCAAAGGTCTGCAAACCACGTATGGTGATCTCTGCTCTTAGGAAGGAAGTCTCCGCTGAAAATCAAATCAGCACTTGCAAATTAGAGCAGGAGGGCTCTGTGAACATGCAGCCCTTTAGCCCGGGTACAGAAAGACAAGCAAAATACAAGGATTAGTCAGTGGTTTAATCTGACATGCATGTTGGACCCGTTTGGTTCATATGATATCACCATAACTCAGAGAGACCGGAATAGAATGCAAACATTAACTCCCTTGTCATAGCTGAACTGAGATGGGTGGGAGAGTGAGCGAGCAGGGAGGGGAGGGAAAAACAGTAATTTTGCAAGGCATGAGAGCCAAAGTATCTGACATTGGGTGACCTGGATGGAAGTCACGTGGGAAACACATTTCTTCAGAGGAGCTGACAAAAATAGAGCTGAAGTTATGTCATAGAAGGCAATATCTGTTTATTGTGGGGTCTTGGCACGACTGAGGTCCAAGATAGTAGCTTGAACTTCTTTGACCAGTTCATGAAGGTGTAAATGTGAAATGGAAAAATAAATGTAGCCAAATTAAGTACAAGTAGGCAGAGATAGGTGGTTATTTATCACCTGGGTCATGGAACATCCAATTCCTCTGAAAACGCAGCCAGATGCTCATAGACATTTGCCTGGCTAACTTCCTCCTAAGCTACTCTGGGTGTACTTCACAAATACTTTCACAGCTTTCGTCTCCAAAATGTAGGAGAATGAATCACAGGGCTATCATAACTATGAGATGTCATTCTTTACAGGCACCAAAAACAAAACAAACAAAACAAACAAAAACTTGGCGAGAGATCCCCTACTCATCCTTATTGGTAAGTTTCATCTTTTGCTAGCACAGTTGGTAAAGGTTTGTGATAGCTGCTTATATTATTTGCTTTGTTCTGGAAGTTTATGGAATAACTACTGGTTATAACAAGTGTTTGCATTTCCTGTGAGGATCTTGGTTTCAAGCAAATGACCGCATTTTCCTCTCAGCAAGCAAGATATTTGCTATTCACAATAACCCCTTTTGGTGAAATTTGTTAAAGCATGTTCCCCTGCCAATTTTTTTTTAGATAGAAAGAGAATAAAAGCTGTTTGCATGATATAGCTATTCTCTGAATTCTTCATCTGCATAAATGCTAGAGCTTGGAGATGTTACAAGATTTCCCCAGTTTTAAGAGTTGTCATCCAAAATAGCACGGTCTGCTAAAAACTCTCACTGGCTGAAATAAGACTTTTTACCTGACTTTTTTCCTCAGGTACCAATTTCGTACGGGCAGAGAATTTTGGTTTTAAAAAACATAGAAGAGCAGGTGTATTAAAGCACTCAATTCGATCGTCTGTTTCTGAAATAGCCTGTGACTGCTCTGCTTGCATGTTTCTGTTCTGCCTTTCTTATTCTTTTCCTTCGGGCTGGTTCACACATAAGTGGAGCAGCAGCAGCTGGGGAATTGCATGGCCGACTGAGCAATTCCAGATCAAACACCAGAGACAGAGCCTCCCTCTCCTCTCTCATGAGGCACGCTGGCCCCAAAGCATGGTGTCATCTCATAAGAAGACATTGAACAAAGTACATGCAAGGGGTTTGGTGTGCCTTCCAGTTAAGCTAAAGCCGAGATCATCAACACTTAGTGGGAGAGCTCATGCAGAAGAGTGCAGGTTTGATCCCTGGCATCTTCAGGCAAAACAATTAGAGAGCAGAATGTTTGAAACACGTTCTGCCTGAGAACTCAGAGAACTGCTGCCATTCAGGGTAGTGGGTTACATGGGCAGCTAGTCTGATTTTGTATAAAGCAATTTCTTCTTGTATTTCTCTCTTTCAAGAGTGTGTTTATATGTAACTGCTGTATAGGTCATTGGTTTAGGTAGAGGTCAGGAGTTTGATTCCCCACTGTGCCTCCTTGACAGGGGCTGGACTTGATGATCCATAGGGACCCTTCCAGCTCTGCAGTTTTAAGATGGTGATGATGGCCCTTTGGATACCCATCCGTTTGCCTTTCTGAACATAGCTCTGCAGTTCTAAGATGGTGATGATGGCCCATCCGTTTGCCTTTCTGAACACACACCTACAGAGAGCTGATTTTGTTCTAGACAGCTGTAACATTTGGTCATCTTTCAGCTGCTTTGGGTGCCATGGTTGACCCACCAAGGATGTAACCTCACAATGGAGAAAATGGAAATAGATCTGCTGCTGAGAAGTCAAACCCAGGAAATCAGATTTCCCCAGGTGAATTGGTTTCAACTGATCACATGGGAGTCAAGTGAAAGGGGGAGGAAATAGGCACTTTGGCCTTGTTTGCAGCTTGTTAAGGTAGATCTGCTCTTGTTGTCCAGATTTGCAGAAAGCATGGTTACAGCCTTAAAAAGAAAAAAGAAGAAAAGGGGGGGAGAATAGAAAGGGAACAGAAAGAGAAAGGAAGAGGAAAGCAAGCAAACCCAGTCTCTCATTTGGGGAGGAGAGGATGCAAATGGCAGCCAGTTTCTTCACTGCCCTGCCTCTATCACTGCTGCTGTGGCCAAGTGCAATGGCTTCAGATACAGCAGTGGCTGCAAACACCCCCCACAAGTGAACACATCGTCTGAATGGATGCAAATGTGTTTGATACGAAAAAAGTAAGAAGTTCCAGTGGTAAAGGAAAAAATGATGGATTGGGAAGGAAATCTGGGCTAACTCACATTGATTTGTATATGATGTTGTCAGCAGATAATAATGTGAATCTAACCATCCCAATCCTGGAGCATTTCATGCATTTTTTGTTAACAATGAATAAACAAGGTTGTTTATCTGATTCCCTGCTTCACTTTCACCCAGTTACAATACTGGATCTGAGTCTGAAAACAGACATATAGGTGACTTGCTTTATTCCGTGGTTGGCCTTCAAGACTTAAGCAAGGATTCCTGTGAAGTCTGATTCTGCAAACACAAAGGACAACCCCAGTTACCTCTCTTGAACAGACAGGCCACATTCTCTTCTGTCCGTTGGCCAGGTGGATTAAATGGGACATGCACACCTCCTTGCTCTTCCGCCTTGGGACTGTTGGAGGGAGCACAGGTACTCAGAAGCCACATTGCAGGTGATGGATTCAAGTGTCCTCACACCTGTCTAGAGCCTTAGTGAGTCCGAAGGACCTTTTGCAATGACTGTGCCACTAAGAGGATGGCTAAGTTCTTGTTGGAACAGTATTTAATTTGTCAAAGAGGGTTACAGATATAAACCCTTCTTCAGTAGTATGTAGTTTCCTTTTTTAAAATATTATTTTAAAAACAATATATTTTTGTTAGTGATAACAAGGAATAATAATAGAAATGGAGAATTCAGGTTAATGCTAGTACTTTGAAGTTAGAGAGGAAAATTCCATGAGCTTAGTCTCAATTCTCAGTATATGATGGGGACTAAGGATTTTATAGCTGGTACAATTCTGAAGGGGAGATTTTTGTAACTAGGTTTCTCTCCCTCTCTCTCTCTAAATATAAAGGGCGCTACATACACATCTTTCCCCAATACACCATTTGATATCCCATGGATAAGATTCAGTCAGTAAGTGTTAAATTAATAGTAAGAAGAAAAACCTTCTCTGCTAAGACCGCAGTCCTCAACATGGAAACCTAGAATTTTCTTTGCTTATATTGCAATCTCGACATGGAAAGTAATTACACTGACACCTCCTCAGTGATCTTTTGAACTCAGGTACAAGACTGCTTTCAACCTGTGCCCTTGTAAACTATGTCAGTCAGTTGTGGATTACAGCTTAACCGACTGACCTTTTATAAGGCAGCCATTTGTTCACAGAGCTCCTAAGACATGTCTATGTGCATTATGCCTAATATCTGTGGCTGATGGGTTTATTTCAGGTGAATCCTGCTCATTATTCTTCTTCAGACAAATCCACAGCCAGTTAAAACGATGCCATGATGTGCTGCATGATTTGTTTGTATAAACACCTTTTAAAAAGGAGATGTCCGATGGGCACTTTGTGCTCTTCTAGCAAAAACACTGAAGCGTGCATTTCATGTGACAAATCTGTGCCCAGAAGGTACCTGAACAAAGCAACAAAGAGTAATAGTATGTTGAATTTTGAAACAACCATTTCTGTCAGTTGCATTTCTAATGTATCTCTGGCATCTTGTCATTTTAGCTTGTACAATATATTCTGTACTCACTCTACCTTCCTTTCGCTTCCTCCGTCTTTTTCTACTGTTCTTTTTTTACCTTCACCATTACATCACTTGCTTATTGTTCTGATTAAAGCTTCTTTTCAATTAGCACTTGACTGGAATAAATTGTTCTTATTTTTCAAAAAACCCCTTTAAATATAGGGTTTATGAATGATCTCCCAGGACACTGGGTGGATCCAATTTAAGTCATATTTAGAATAGAACCCATTCACTTGATTGATTCATTTTTATTTCTTGTTTATATGTGCACGTTTCCACATCATATGACAATTCTCCACAAAGCAGCTCTCTGTGTATAGAGGCTGAGCTCCATTTCATAATACTCTGGCCAAGCTCCTGTTTAGTTCCATAACATTGTTCTGTGCAACCAACTGGGCACTGAGACTAGATACTGTAATCTTCTCTAATGTCTAATACTTTTACTTTACAGTGCTTTACTTTTATTAGACTTTTACCCTGCACCCCCTAGGCAAAGTCTACTCGGGTCAGCTTACATACATAATAAAACACAACAGTATATGAAGCATAATAAAATCCTTCAAGACTAAAAACTAAAAACTAAGAAGAGGTGAATGCATGTCATTTGTAGGTGTTTTTATTTCTCGGTCTGTTTTTGCTTGTT